TCGCTGCCCAGGCAGGTCTCGAACCTGCGGGCTCAGGCAATCCACTCACCTCAGTCTCCCAAAAGCGCGGGATTACAGGCTGAGCCACCAAGCCAGGCTTGATTTAGTGTAGAGATGAGGTCTTGCCAAGTTGCCCAGGCAGGTCTCGAACCCCCAGGCTCAGGCAATCTACTCACCTCAGCCTCCCAAGGTGTAGGATTACAGGCTGAGCCACGGAGCCTGGCTGTAAAACGTATTTTTAATCACTCCAGTCAAGATTTGAGTGCTGCCTTTACCATAATACTTTAAGAAAGGGTTTGGCAGTGGCAGAATACTGCCGGGAGCTGGCGGGAGGAGACACAGCATCAGTCAGGGTACCTGATCTCAAACCAGGCAAAGTGAGGACCAAAGGGAGGCCCAAACTCTACCTGTACGATGACCACTTGTATACCTAATCCTGAATTGTACCCCACATCTTTAAAAGAAACAGAAGACTTGAGTGTTGCTTATGTGCTAGGCTCTGTGCTTGGATTCTGGGAATAAAGGGGAATAAAATAGTCTGTTCCATCAAAGGCTCTTTGTCTAGCAGTAAAAATAGACTTGGAAATGATTTTGATTCAGTGTGGCAAACGCAGTTTAAAAAAAGAAGAGAAGTATGATCAGTGTGTGAGATGGAAGCTGAGGGAGTAATCAGTTATTGGGCCAGGAGTATCAAGAAAGACTTTCCAAAGAAACTGATGTAATTTGAAAGGATGGTAGAAATTTACAAAGCAGACAAGCAGTCAGTGGACATTACAGAACAGGAAAATAGTGTGTGCCTTGGCTCAGAGATATAAACTAGCATTATGCACCTGAAGGATGCTGTGGAGGTCAGTTTGGCTGGCATACAAGCAGGGAAGGGGGGAGGCTAGGATCTTGGGCAGACGGAGAGGCAGAAGTCACATCTTGGAAGGCCTTGCATTGTCCGCTAAGCAATTTGTATGCCAGCTCCTTGAAGCCCCCTTCAGAGTCCTGTGAACAGGAGACATCCAAGCAAGCTCCTGGGGTTTTGAGAGCCATTGATGATCTTCAAACAAGATGAGGGGGTAACAAGACCAAAATGCATGTTAGAGAGTCAGTGTGGAGGGCGGATTAGAGAACATTCGTCTGGAGAGAGGAGACCAGGCAAGCAGTGATGACAATAATCCAAGGAGATGATAATAAATGATAAAGGCCTGAACGAAGACAGCCCAGTGAGTGTGGAGAGGAGAGACCAGAGTCAAACGCTGCCAGCAGGGGTACAGAAGAGAGTGCCCGCCATGAGACCTGGGAGTTCAGTGGTGATACCTCTCCTAGAAACCCAATATAGGAAGAGGGAAGCTTGAGGGTGAGGCAGAGAGCAGAAACTCAGCTTGGGATATGGAGTGTAGGCCTCTGCGGGGCAGTCCCCTGGAGAGCTGGCCCTGGACTCAGGGGAGGCCCACACTAGCAACTCGTGGAAGGATAGAAGGGGTGAGAGCCACGGGCACAGATGAGATCAGGAATTTTGCCAGCACAGAGTGAAAGGAAGGACCTAGACAACCAGCTTTTGCAGACTGGGCAGAGGAAGGGTGAAGGAGCAGAGGAGTGGAGGGAGAACACCCAGGAGACAGGTTTTATGGAAACCCAGAGGAAAAAAGATTGAGAAGGAGGGAGTGAGCAGTCCACAGAAGATCCCGGAAAGAGAAGGTGTGAAAATGCCCCTCTGAGCCAGACTCGGTAGCTCAGCCTGTTACCCTGCGCTTTGGGAGGCTGAGGTGAGTAGATTGCCTGAGCTCGCGGGTTCGAGACCCACCTGGGCAACTTGGCAAGACTTCATCTCTACAAAAAATCAGCCGGGCATGATAGCATGTGCCTGTAATTCCAGCTACTCGAAAGGCTGAGGCAGAAGGATCGCTGGAGCCCAGCAGGTCGAGGCTGCGGTGACCGGGAGCAGCCACCGCGCTCCAGTCTGGGCAACAGAGTGAGACTTCAACTCAAAAAAAAAAAAAAAAAACAAAGCAGAAAATGCCCCTCTCCTTTCTCCATTCCTTGGTAGCTGGGGATGGTTTCCATGGGGCTGGGGAAGCAGGTGGCAATGGCTGAGAAAGAATAAAAGAGGGACCAGAGCTCCAGGGGTGAACAGTCAGAGGAGTTTTTAAGAAAAAGTGAGATTGGAGCGTGTTTATTAGCTGAGAGGAGGAAGCTAGTAGACTTGGACCACAGTTCAGGAGGGAGCAACAAAGGACAAGTTGAACCAGGTCAGATGTTCATCTAAGGAGTCGCAAGCAGATCAGCCTTCATGTTCTTTAAGAATTTACCTTTTGGCTATTTTTTTTTTTTTTTTGAGTTGGAGTCTCACTTTGTCGCCCAGACTGGAGTGCAGTGGCTGCTCCCAGCCACCATAGCCTCAACCTGCTGTGCTCCGGCGATCTTTCCGCCTCAGCCTTCCTAGTAGCCAGAACTACAAGCATGTGCTACCATGCCCAGCTAATTTTTTATTTATTGTAGAGATGAAGTCTTGCCAAATTGCACGGGTGGGTATCGAACCCGCAGGCTCAGGCAATCCACTCGCCTCAGCCTCCCAAAGTGCTGGGATTACAGGCTGAGCCACCGAGCCCGGCAACACATTCCTTTTTTAAAATCACCTTCACGACTGGACATGGTGGCTCATACCTGTAATCCCAGCACTTTGGGAGGCCAGGACATAAAAGTCGCTTGAGCCCAGAAGTTTGAGACCAACCTGGGCGACATAGCAAGACTTCATTTCTACAAAAAAATGTAAAACTTAGCCAGACATGACGGTATGCGCCTGTAATCCCAGCTACTTGGGAGGCTGAGTTAAGAGGATCATCTGAACCAAGGAGGTCGAGGATGCGATGAGGCATGATTGTACCACTGCACTCCAGCCTGGGCAACAGAGTGAGACCCAGACTCAAATAAATAAATAAATACAAACCTTTTCACTGTCTAGGAGCTACCTAGGTACTTGGAATGTCTCAGACAGACATTCCCACACCTCTTGAATCTTATGTCAGAGCAGGCAAGATGCAATTAACATAATAAATAAGCACATTATGTAGTGTATTAGAAGTTAATCATTGCTACAAAGATTAATTGGTTTTCTTACCATTGTTAAGAGAGAAGTATTTTTAATAGCTGCACTTCTGATCAGAATTTTTTCCCCCCTTTCCAAAGTCCACATTCTACTAGTAGAATTTAAATAGTTCTTCTGCCATGATAATACTGACTCTGCAACCAGAGTCACTTTTCTTCACGGAATCCATAAAGCGCTCTGCTTGTGCCTTTTATATGTCATTTGTCACTATTTCCCTGCCGCAGAGTTATTTGTCAACATAATTTGCCTCATAGTCTCCTTCTCAGGGACAGGAATCATTGTCATTAGTCTTTGCCGTGTCCACTGTGCTTAGCATCGTGGCTTGCGCCTAGAGACTGTCTAGTACCTTGGAATAAATGAATGCTCTGATAGATAAGGATCTGAGTATGTGGCATCACAGTCCCTAACATCAGTCCTAATATCTCTAAATCTAGAAATTAAGTTAATTTAGAAATTTTGACCTCTATATAACATAATAGCATAGCACTGTCTAATGATTGTGGTACACTATTAAATGTGGTCTTCAAGGCTAGATGCGGTGGTTCATGCCTGTTATCTCAGCACTTTGGGAGGCCAAGGCAGGAGGATTGCTTGAGCCCAGGAGTTCAAGACCAACCTGGACAACGTAGTGAGACCTCATCTCTATGAATAAATTTTTAAAAATTAGCTGGGTAGTCCGGGCTTGGTGCTCCGCTTATAATCCCAGCACTTTGGGAGGCGGAGGTGAGTGGATTGTCTGAACCCGCGGGTTCGAGTCGAGACCAGCCCGGGCAACTTGGCGAGACCTTGTCTCTACAAAAAATAAAAAATGAACCAAGTGTGGTAGCGCACACCTGTAGTTCCAGCTACTTGGAAGGCTGAGGCAGAAGGGTTGCCGGAGCCCAGCAGGTCGAGGCTGCGGTGTCCATGAGTGTGCCACTGCACTCCAGCCTGGACAACAGAGTGAGACTCCAACTCAAAAAAACCGCAACAAATTAGCTGGGTGCAGTGGTGCTTGTCTGTAGTTCCAGCTACGTGGGAAGTGGAGGTGGAAGGATCACCTGAGCCCAGGAGGTGGAGGCTATAGTAAGCCATGATTGTGCCATTGCTCGGATGCAAATAAATAAACAATCTTCAAAATAAAAAAATTATCATTTTAATCTTAGGAAAAGGGCCAAGTCAACTAAAGCTGCTGTTCTGGAGATCCAGTGGATTATCTTGCTGTAATTCTTAGCATCTGTGTTGTTCTGTTACTTAGTAGCCAGAGCTCTCTAAGTGAGATCGCATGCCACACTGGATCATAACACCTGCGTGAGACCAAGCTTTCTAATTTCCCTGGGGATAAAACACGTTCTTCTCTAGATAGGAGAAAAAGGGGATTATATCAGAGCCTGCTGCATGTAAATAAAGCGGTGTTTCTGTATCCGTAGAAAGCTTACTCGATTATAAAGTTAAATACTGTAGACAGCAAAACAATGCAAAAATGCTACGAGAGAGTCGTGGTGAAAGGACTGGGCTGGACCCAGCGCTCCACCCTTTTGATTTTTGGTCTCCCCAAAGGAAGTGCAGCATTGGCAGGCCCCACCCATGTGCCCTGCAGTTTCCAGAAGACTCCAGGAACTGGGTTTCTTTCTCTCGGAGAGCCACATCTCATTTGACAACTCAGGTTTCATGGAAGACGCTTTGTAAGACACAGAGTTAGTAGACAGATGATAATCATTGTTAGAATAACCATAACCACCGTTTATAAGAGCCCGCTGAATGATAAACGGCTCTGTGCTGGACATATTGCATACATTTTGGTTCTCTCTTTTAATCTCTACAATAGCCTGATGTGGGTCCCTGTCAGCCCCATTTTACAGATGAGAAAACTGAGGAGCAGAGATATCCAACAGCTGTCCAACAATTGAGTTCATGAACTCATCCTAGAAAAAGTGCTCCATGCCTCATTACTGAATATGACTACAGTCCTCTTAAAAGTCCTCCCCTTGGGAAGCTATGCACTGATGCCAGCGTCTAGTCTACCCATCAAAGCAATTTTGAAACTCTTCTTCTGGAGAGGCCACCAGAGCTGTCGTGAGATCTGACAGTTAAGTTTGTGAACTCGCCACCATGTGCTTTTGTTGGCAGCGCTGTACAAATAACTGCATTTGCACATCTTCCCTACTCACCTGATGTGGCCTCCAGTGACTTTTTTTTGAGTCGGAGTCTCACTGTCACCCAGGCTGGAGTGCGGTAGCATGCTCGTGGCTACCGCAGCCTCGACTTACTGGGCTCAGGTGATCCTTCCAAGTAGCTGGAACCACAGGCGTGTGCCACCACGCCCGGCTAGTTTTTTTATTTATTGAAGAGACAAAGTTTCGCCCATTCTCGGCTCAGGCAATCCTCTCACCTTGGCCTCCCAAAGTGCTAGGATTATGGTGCGAGCCACTGCTCTCGGCCGGCTTTTTTCTTTACTCAAAGAAAAAGGACATTTATCGAAAGGAAGACATCTGATGACATTCAGGATACCAAGGGTAATATGAGGACAGCTCTGATGGCCATTCCAGAAAAAGAGTTCCAACAGTTCTTTGACAGGGGACTAGGCACTGGCATCAGTAGCTTCGAAGGCGACCGTGGTGGTATTCAGCAATGAAGCACGTAGCACTTGTATTAGGATGAGTTCACAGATTTAATTGTTGGGCCTTGTACATGGCAGAACTAGAATTTCAGCATGTGTCCTTCTGACTTCATTCCCTTTTTTTGTTCATTCTGATACCCTTCTCCTGACAGTGGATTGGAACTCACGAGGCCTTCCTCCTCGTGCCACCTTTAGCAAGCCTGTGCTTCCCCACCGTGTTAGGCCTCTTTCCTACACAGGGCACCAGGTGTGGAGTGACAGGCCTGCAGACAAGCCTTGCACTGATGATCCCATGACCTTGGGGAGCTGCAGGATGTGAAAATGCTTTGTCCACAGAAGGCAGTGTTCCATCTGCAAATTGGGTCTGTGTCTTAGTTTGTTTGGCTGGAATAACACAGGGTTCTCCGTCTCTGCGGTTCTGTCTAGAAGTGAGCCAGCGATTTCCCACGACTCACCCCAACGGCCGTCAGATCATGCTCACCTACCTGCTGCCCTGGCTCCATAACATCGAGCTGGTGGACAGCAGGCTTCTCCTCCCGGGATCGAGCCCCAGCAGCCCAGAGGACGAAGTCAAGGACCGAGAAGGAGAAATAACAGCTTCTCATGGGCTGAGAGGAAATGGCTGGGGCTCTCCGGAAGCCACATCACTGGTCCTGAATAACCTCATGTACATGACGGCCAAGGTAAACCCGGAGGAAATGTGCCTCAAATCGCACAGCTCCACCATCAGAGAAAACCCTGGGTGAATCAAGCCCCATGCCGCCAACCCAGGGAAAATAGCATGTTACCACTTAAAAACACACAAAGGGGCATGGTTGATGGTGGTGGTTGCACACCAGTGTGAATGGACTTAATGCTGCTGAACTGTATGTTTTAAAATGGTTATGATGGTAAACTTTATGTTATGTATATTTTACTGTAATTTTTTAAAAAATAAGAACAAGGCCAGGCACAGTGGCGCATGCCTGTAATCCAAGCACTTTGGGAGGCTGAGGTGGGAGTATCATTTGAGGCTAGGAGTTCAAGACCAACAGGGACAGCAAAGTGAGACCCCGACCCCTATCTCTACAAAAAAGAAAAAAACGAAATTAGCTGAATGTGGTGGCACCTGCCTGTAGTTCCAGCTACTTGGGAGGCTATGGCAGGAGGATTCCTTGAGCTCAGCAGTTCAGCACTGTAATGTGCTATAATAGTGCCTGTGAATAGCCACTATAGGTGTGCCTCGTGAGTGAGATCTTCATCTCTTTTAAAAAAGAAAAGATTTAAATACATACATCTATATATATATTGATAGACAGATACACACACACACACACACACACACACACACACACACACACGTAATAACAAAAAGAAGTCTAACTTTTTAAAAAATCATATGAACAGTAACCCCTTGGGGTCTTCTCCAACTGTGGGAGCTTTTCTGTCCCCTCAATAAATCCTGCTTTCTAAAAAAAAAGAATCATATGAGTAGGTATTGTGCGTGACCAATTTGCATTATAAATTGCTGTCTACTCAGAGAGGGTATCTTTCTGATGAATGGCCTTGTTGCCTCCTTCTTATGATCGTGAGATGGCCATGACCCTCAAAACTACTCTGGGTGTAGTGGCTCACTCTTGTAATCCCAACACATTGGGAGGCTGAGGCAGGAGGATTGCTTAAGCCCAGGAGTTCAGACCAGCCTGGGCCACATAGCGAGACCTCATCTCTACAAAAAATTTAAAAATTACCTGAGCATGGTGGCCCACACCAGTAATCTCAGCTACTTGAAAAGCTGAGGCAGATGGATCACCTGAGCGCAGGAGATGTAGGCTGCAGTGAGCTGTGATCATGCCTTTGCACTCCAGCCTGGGTGACAGTGAGATTCTGACTCAAAAAACAAAACAAAAACCTACTCTTTTTTTTGAGTCGGAGTTTCACTCTGTCGCCCAGGCTGGAGTGTGTTGGCACGCTCTCGGCCACCGCAGCTTCGACCTGCTGGGCTCAGCCGATCCTTCCATCTCAGTCTTCCAAGTAGCTGGAACTACAAGCATATGCCACCACACCCCAGCTAAGTTTTCTCGATTTATTATAGAGTTGAGGTCTCACCAAGTTGCCCAGGCTGGTCTCGAACCCCTGGGCTCAGGCAATCCTCTCACCTCAGCCTCCTCAAGTGCTGGGATTATGGGCATGAGCCTCCGAGCCCAGCCAAAAACTTACTTTTCAAAAAGTAGGTTTTTTGTTTTGTTTTGTTTTTTGAGTCAGAGTCTCACTGTCGCCCAGGCTGGAGTGCAATGGCATGATCACCGCTCACCGCAGCCTCCATCTCCTGGGCTCAGGTGATCCGTCTGTCTCGACTTTTCAAGTAGCTGAGAGTACAGGTGTGTGCCACTTTTTATACCCTTATATTTGTACACATTTTCCTTCAGCCAATTTTTATCTGATTGTTCTAGTATGGAGACGAAGTTCCAGGACCAGAAATGGAAAACGCTTGGAATGCCTTGGCCAACAACGAGAAATGGAGCAACAACCTGAGAATCACCCTGCAGTTCCTGATCAGCCTCTGCGGGGTGAGCAGCGACACGGTTCTCCTGCCCTACGTAAGTGTCTCTCCGGCCTTCGGGAGCGAATATTCCTACTGGGACTCCCACGTGCAATTTGCAAGTCAGAATGTGCTCTCTGCTCCAGCTAAAATAGAGATGTCGCATGATGTCAGTCATGCTAGTCTCTTGTGAGCTTGTCCAGATATTACATAAAAGTTCCCTCCTACCCCCCAGACGCAGGCCATGTGTGCTAGTGATGCCACTGTCATGTCCTTGCTCTGAGCCTTGGGACACAGAAACCTATGAATTTAGGGGGTGGACATTTTTCTAATGGTTACTGGAACTTGCCTTCTGTAAACATGAGACCCATGAATAGGTATTGTGCGTGACCAATTTTCACTATAAATTGCTGTCTACTGAAAGATAGTATCTTTCTGATGAATGGCCTTGTTGCCTCCTTCTTATAATCTTGAGATGGCCAGGACCCTTAAAACTACTTTTAATCAGGCTGAGTGCAGTGGCTCACTCTTGTAATCCCAGCATGTTGGGAGGCTGAGACAGGAGGATTGCTTGAGCCCAAGAGTTTGAGACCAGCCTGGGCCACATAGTGAGACCTCATCTCTACAAAAAATTAAAAAATTAGCTGAGCATGGTGGCGCACACCTGTAATCTCAGCTACTTATTTAAGGGGCTCTATGTAAAAGCATGATATTATTACTAATGAAAATGTTTCATGTTTGCATCTCGATGCTCTGGAAATGGAACAAAAATGCAGAGCATATCCGGGATTTTCTCCTCAAATTCAAGTGGTAGAAAAGAGAAGTAAGCAGAGAGAAATCTTTCAGAGATGTCTGATGTTTATTGTCAGTGTTTAAAGGGATAGGATCAACAGGAGGACAGCATTTTAAGAGCTTAAATTCAATTGGCGTTTCTGTGCCAGCGGTTTTGTGAGAGGTTTTGTGCCTTCCTGCTGTTCTGAACCTCATTGTAGCTTGCAGGGCTCAGGTTGGACTTTGAGGCCCACGATAATCCAGAGTTATTTTTAAAATTTAAAACCACGAAAACAGCTAAAACGCGTTTGTTTCTAGGAGAGAAGAGAATAGCAGGGGACTAGATTCCTACTTAAACAAAAATAGCTGGTAGTTTTTTCCGCAGAGTTTGGGTAAATAAAATTCTTTCTGAAGACAAGACCTTAGGTGGTAAATGTTCCCTTTGGATAGAATTCATGTACCCTAAAAGTAACTCTTTCAAACTCAGTTAGTAGAAGAAGTAAGGCCTTTAACAGCACACTCCTGTCAGACACCTGTGAAGACAGGTGAATTTTAGTCACTGGGTTTATTCTAGGATAGCGCAAAGATGGAGATGATGGTTCCTGGGTGATGATGCATTTGTCTAAATGGGCGGGTTACCAGTCTTGAGAATGAGGCTCTGGAGATGGTTCTTTGTTTTCTTTTTTCTCTCAGATTAAAAAGGTGGCGATATACTTGTGCCGTAATAACACCATCCAAACCATGGAAGAGCTTCTGTTTGAACTGCAGCAGACAGAGCCCGTGAACCCCATTGTCCAGCACTGTGACAACCCACCCTTCTACCGCTTCACCGCCAGCAGCAAGGCCTCTGCAGCAGCCTCCGGTAAGGAGAGGGGCGACTGGGCAGATGTCTGGTCATAGGTCTCTGGGTCTTACTTTGTGAAGGTCTCTGAAAGGATATGTGTATGTGTTTGTTACTTTGTTTTGTTTATTTGTAGAGATGGGGTCTTGCTATGTTGCCCTGTCTAGTCTCAAACTCCCAATCTTAAGCGATCCTCCTGCCTCGGCCTCCCAAAGTGCTGGGATTACCAATGTGAGCCACCACACCTGACCTGTTTGCCGCTTTTTCTTACTCCTGTGCACACATTCAATTAAGACATGGCTTAAGAATAGTCAACTGAGCCGGGCTTGGTGGCTCAGCCTATAATCCCGCGCCTTTGGGAGGCTGAGGTGAGTGGATTGCCTGAGCCCGCGGGTTCAAGACCCGCCTGGGCAACTTGGCGAGACCTCATCTCTACAAAAAATCAAAAATTAGCCAGGCATGGTAGCGTGTGCCTGTAGTTCCAGCTACTCGGAAGGCTGAGGGGGAAGGATCGCCGGAGCCCAGCAGGTCGAGGCTGCGGTGACCGGGAGCAGCCACTGCACTCCAGTCTGGGCGACAGAGTGAGACTCCAACTCAAAAAAAAAAAAAGAAAAAAAGAATAGTCAACTGGGACAGACTCAGTTGCTCAGCCTGTAATCCTAGCACTTTGGGAGGCCCAGGCGAGTGAATTGCCTGAGCCCATGGGTTCGAGACCTGCCTGGGCAACTTGGCGAGACCTCATCTCTACAAAAAATCAAAAATTAGCCAGGCATGGTAGCGTGTGCCTGTAGTTCCAGCTACTCGGAAGGCTGAGGGGGAAGGATCGCCGGAGCCCAGCAGGTCGAGGCTGCGGTGACCGGGAGCAGCCACTGCACTCCAGTCTGGGCGACAGAGTGAGACTCCAACTCAAAAAAAAAAAAAGAAAAAAAGAATAGTCAACTGGGACAGACTCAGTTGCTCAGCCTGTAATCCTAGCACTTTGGGAGGCCCAGGCGAGTGAATTGCCTGAGCCCATGGGTTCGAGACCTGCCTGGGCAACTTGGCGAGACCTCATCTCTACAAAAAATCAAAAATTAGCCAGGCATGGTAGCGTGTGCCTGTAGTTCCAGCTACTCGGAAGGCTGAGGGGGAAGGATCGCCGGAGCCCAGCAGGTCGAGGCTGCGGTGACCGGGAGCAGCCACTGCACTCCAGTCTGGGCGACAGAGTGAGACTCCAACTCAAAAAAAAAAAAAGAAAAAAAGAATAGTCAACTGGGACAGACTCAGTTGCTCAGCCTGTAATCCTAGCACTTTGGGAGGCCCAGGCGAGTGAATTGCCTGAGCCCATGGGTTCGAGACCTGCCTGGGCAACTTGGCGAGACCTCATCTCTACAAAAAATCAAAAATTAGCCAGGCATGGTAGCGTGTGCCTGTAGTTCCAGCTACTCGGAAGGCTGAGGGGGAAGGATCGCCGGAGCCCAGCAGGTCGAGGCTGCGGTGACCGGGAGCAGCCACTGCACTCCAGTCTGGGCGACAGAGTGAGACTCCAACTCAAAAAAAAAAAAAGAAAAAAAGAATAGTCAACTGGGACAGACTCAGTTGCTCAGCCTGTAATCCTAGCACTTTGGGAGGCCCAGGCGAGTGAATTGCCTGAGCCCATGGGTTCGAGACCTGCCTGGGCAACTTGGCGAGACCTCATCTCTACAAAAAATCAAAAATTAGCCAGGCATGGTAGCGTGTGCCTGTAGTTCCAGCTACTCGGAAGGCTGAGGGGGAAGGATCGCCGGAGCCCAGCAGGTCGAGGCTGCGGTGACCGGGAGCAGCCACTGCACTCCAGTCTGGGCGACAGAGTGAGACTCCAACTCAAAAAAAAAAAAAGAAAAAAAGAATAGTCAACTGGGACAGACTCAGTTGCTCAGCCTGTAATCCTAGCACTTTGGGAGGCCCAGGCGAGTGAATTGCCTGAGCCCGTGAGTTCGAGACCTACCTGGGCAACTTGGCAAGACCTCATCTCTACAATAAATAAAAAATTAGCCGAGTGTAGTAGCACACACCTGTAGTTCTGGCTACTTGGAAGACTGAGGTGGAAGGATCGCCAGAGCCCAGCAGGTCCAGGTTGCGATGACCGGGAGTGTGCCACTGCACTCCAGTCTGGGTGATAGAGTGAGACTCCAACTCAAAAAAAAATAGTCAACTGAGACTTTCAGGGACTGTCAGATTAATGAAATGAGCTTTTTCCTTCAGGTCTGTCCCAGGCAGGACCCTGCATTCACTCAGGAGTCTCATTTCTAGACCCTCCTTATACCCATTGGCTAATACTTTCTCTGAGTTAACTCAAACTCCCCCCAACGGTAATATCACATTCAACAAATTGGTGTCTCAGCATCTTTTTATGAAAGATATACCATCCTTCTCAAACTCCTCGAGGCCGGCTTCCCTTTGATTTACCGAATAACATAACCGCCCTCCCCTGGTCTCTGTGTCCTCTGCTTGCTCTACACTGTTATTTAGAGAAGCGCTAGCCAGGAACCAGAAGCTCTAAGTACTTGGCCTCGCTTCACTAGCCTTAGTTTAATAACTCCTGGACCCAGAAACACAAAAGCAGCCAACAGCAGGGCCGGCCACTATAAATAAGCTCATTACCTAAGTAGCCAGGAAGAAGAGGTTTCAAGAATGTTGTAGCCTCACTTTACAAGAGAGTGAAGGCATTTGGGTTGACCATAACAGATGTCTTAGAATTCTCCCATTTCAGTGGTGTGGGCTTGGGAGGTTGTTGAGAATGTCTGAGATGTGCAGAAGATACAAGGAGTCCTTCACACATGAGATTTTACAGGAAATCCCTTCCTGGAATTACTTGAGACTTGAACTTGACCCCTGCATATGCATCTTTTTAAAGAATCTTTCTTCTAATCCTATCTACAGGGACCACTTCCAGCAGCAATACAGTGGTTGCTGGCCAGGACAATTTCCCAGATGCTGAGGAAAGCAAGATATTGAAAGAATCTGATGAAAGGTTGGTGCACAAGTGTGCCTCAGTATCCAGTATCACTTTCAGTGGTCATCTGTACAAAGGCATCAGTACAGTTCTGTGGGCTTGCGTTAATTTCACACATGCACAAAAATCCTTCTTTGTTTTTAGAAACATGTACTGACTTTCCGACTCTACTCTGTATTTCTCCAAAGATAACAATTCTCCCTGCACAAAGTCAAAGAAGAAAAAGATAAAAAGAGGTATTGTTCTGGTGGCAGAATTCCACCTACCCCAGGACTTAATAGTGGGCACAGACCATCTGGAATGAGAGGGATTTGACTTGGGAAGTGTTCAAATCTGAATGTTGAATAACTTCTTAGGGACAGAGTAGTTGTCTTGAGTTCTTATTTTACTTTTGCTTTGTCACATTTCAATTAACCAAGAACACTATTGTTTCCTGCTAAACAAAGTCTCCATTCCCTTTGCGTTGGTTCTTTAATAATTTCTCATCCAGCTCTCACCTCTAGAATAAAATAAAAAATAGCCAGGCATGGTAGTGCACGTCTATAGTTCCAGCTACTTGGAAGGCTAAGGCGGAAGAATCGCCGGAGCCCAGCAGGTAGACTGGGGTGACCGTGAGTGTGCCACTGCATTCCAGCCTGGGTGAAGGAGTGAGACTCCCAACTCAAAAAAAAAAAAAGATGACAGATATCCTAATTACTCTGATTTGACCTTTACACATTATGTGAATATGTCAAATAATCTACATGTGCCTTGGAAACATGTAAATCTATGATGTATCAATAAAAAAATTGAAACTACTTATTAGGAATTACTAACATAAATAAACCCTAAACTCTAAGATTTTTCATGTAGTTTATTATACTGGGCAACAAAATGAACATGTATTTTTATTATTCTCTTTTTCTTTTGATTTAGAGCAGTTTATAGCAATTTTGAGAGTATGCAGAAGTAATCTTCATAAGTATTTTTAATGCATCCACTCAATAAAAGCCTGTTACAAACTTGTAGTCACACAAAAGAATTTTTCATGGGGAGCTAAAGCAATAAACTTCAACTGAATACATTTTTTATTATCTGTGTTGAAACAGAAATAGAAATAGACTAATCTCCATCTAAATTGATAATATACATTTGTATGCATTAATATACTATTAATAAAGTCTAAGTATTAGTATTTAGAGCTGAATGAGCAAGATAAAACTTGGAGAAACATTCATTTTTCTCTTATTAGAGCTATTTCCATGATACATTTCTTAAGATATGTACCTTTGATGTTAACAGAATATTCAGGCTGTTTAATCCTTGAAATTCTTCTAGGCACCAGACCCAAAATAAGTTTCTTTAACTTAGGAAAGTAAAGGGAAATAACAGATTTACTCTTGGAAGTCCATTGTTTTGTTTGTTTTTACTTTTCCTTTGCCAAATGTATACTTTGCCGTACTACCCTGTGGTTTCAGTCTCCTCCAGAGCAAGGAGAACAGTCTGGAAGGGTCGTGCTTCTCTCCTTCATTCTGACCTCATAACCTCTACCTAACACCCCTTTAGATCTGTCTCAGAAAGGAAAAGAGAAGAATCGCCGTCCATCCTGTAATTCTTCTCTGCTTGGGCCCGCCAGAACACAGTTTAAAACTCAACATATGCTGGGCTCAGTGGCTCAGCCTGTAATCCCACGCCTTTGGGAGGCTGAGGTGAGTGGATTGCCTGAGCCCGCGGGTTCGAGACCCGCCTGGGCAGCGAGACCTCATCTCTACAATAAATCAAAAAATCAGCTGGGCGTAGTAGCGCATGCCTGTAATTCCGGCTACTTGGAAGGCTGAGGTGGAAGGATCGCCGGAGCCCAGCAGGTCGAGGCTGCGGTGGCAGGGAGCGGCCACTGCACTCCAGTCTGGGCAACAGAGTGAGACTCCAACTCAAAAAAAACCCAAAAAACAAAAAAAAACTCAACATACACCAGGCTCGGTGGATCAGCCTGTAATCCCGTGCCTTTGGGAGGCTGAGGTGAGTGGATTGCCTGAGCCCGCGGGTTCAAGACCCGCCTGGGCAGCGGGACCTCATCTCTGCAATAAATGAAAAAATCAGCCAGGCATGGTAGCACATGCCTGTAATTCCAGCTTCTTGGAAGGCTGAGGCGGAAGGATCACCGGAGCCCAGCAGGTTGAGGCTGCGGTGGCTGGGAGTGGCCACTGCATTCCAGTTTGGGCGACATACATCATAGTTCATAAGTCAACATACATCATAGTTCATAAGTCGTTAGGAGTGCTGTGGCACTCTCTACCTGACAGAAATTTCCCGATGTGGGATTTTCTCATCCTCCTCCCTTTGTTTCTTGCTGAATGATATCTGGGCTCAGCTTATGCTGCTTATAACCTTACATTGATCAACATAAATATGATTAAAGAACTTCTTCAGGTGGTAATAGATTTGCCACTTTTCTAATTTCATAAGTACTGGTCTGGTTTACTGTTACATGGCCTGACTTGTATGAAACTTAGCAGATGTCCTAGATATTGGTTTTATAGATTCACAAAGTAATAACCCAAAAAACATGACAGTGAAGAATGTTTGAGGTACAAAGTTACTGCAGAAAAGATGGTTATGTCAGGGTGGGGGGGAAGCTTTGCAAATATCTAAGAAGTGAATAAAACTAAAGTCGGTTATAGTCTATTACTTCCGTAATTCTGCAAATCCAAATCACTGATGCCATGCTCTGAGGTTTTATGTACCCAGGACAAGGTAGGCATCTTAATGGTACGTCCAGCACTTTTTCCTAAAGCATTACTCTTTCTCCATGTGTTGGTGATAGCTGTAGCCCTGCATTTTCCAGAATTCCTGAGGGAAATAGAGTTTTGATCTGTTATGAAATGTCAGAACACCCAGTCAGTAATGTAGGGGAACACACCAATTATGGCTTGATTTTTCCATATAATTCTAGATAGCCTTGGCTCTTTGCTTTGGCTGCATATATACTAAGTAGCTAAACTCTGATGTATACCATTTTATGTAAAAGAAACATAGATGTACCATTTTGCCCACAGTTCCCCAAGCCACACCCTTGCCCTGCCTTATAGGTTTTTACATGATAAATATGCTATTGATTTGAAAGACTTTGGTGCCCAAAGAGATAAGACTTTCTAAAATCCCAGATAAGAAGCATGACAACAAATACCTTGTAGCTGGACAGAGTTTTGCTGTTTTGGAAACAATCTCATTCCTTTCTTTTGATCCTGAAAACAATCCCAATAAAATAAAAGGTGAAGTATTATTATTATTCCCTCTTTTTGTAATTGTGGAATCAAGTTCCCCCATGAGGTACAGGCCTTGGCCAAGGTCACAGAGCTAGTAAGAGCTCGGTCTTGTAACCGTGTACTTCACACCAGGAGGCAGCAAGGCACTGACATATCCTGCACCACCACCTCCCCGTGGTTGACACCAGACAAGTTGTCTAATCTCGTTCACTCTCAGTTTCCTCAGTAGAAAGATAATAATGTTTATCTCAAAAATGAATGAGCGTGATTAGATAAGATCATGTATACTTACTATACTTCAACTTTTTTCTTTCTTCTTTTTTTTTGGTTACTTCCTAACAAACCACAAGAGAGACCAGTCAGAATGGTCTCTCTCTATAACACTCCAACTAATACCGTTCCCTGAACACTCTCAGACTATTTTAACGGAAACATTAAAGCCGGGTAAAGTTCAAGGTTTGTTATGAAAACCGTTTATGTATATTTCTCATTGTATCTACTTCCACTTGTTCAATTATTCAGGAAATACTTGCTGACCACCTATCCGGGTACCAGGCTATGCGAATAAGGAAACCATATGATTCAAGATCATGACCATTTTCTTTCCAAAGCAAACGTTACCACGTTCTAGTTCAGTGGAAGTATTTGCTCTAAAATGTGTGTCTCCTCAAAGTTTGAACCTGTGCTTGTGAGCAAGAGTGACCTTGGCCCTCTCAAAGAAAAAAGAAATGTTTGGAGTACAATTTTTACAGCATTCCCTTCAGAAAAGCATCATTGGAACAAGCAGCTAAATAATAGTGTCTGTCTACAAGTAACAGCACACACACACATGTGCCAGTGTTTCATGCTGGTTGTTCTTGTGTTTGAAGGTTTAGTAATGTCATCAGAACCCACACTCGCCTGGAGTCAAGATACAGCAACAGCTCTGGAGGATCTTATGATGAAGATAAGAGTAAGTATCAGGCTAGTGGCTTTCAGACAGAATGAAAATGGTCAGAGAATGAAAAATGAGTGTTTTGATTCTTCTTCGTCTGATTCCTAAAAGGGACCTATAAATATTAAGTAACCATTTAATGCAGATGAGCATACAATCTGCTTCTTAAAAGTTAAAAACGAAAAGAAAAGCCAGGCAGTGGAAAAAATCAGAATTCTAAAAACTCAAACGACTACTCAATTCTGCGTTTTTATATTCTTGACATTTTTTTCTTGGTGACACAATTGGCGAAAGTCTACTAAGACGTAGTCTTAGAAAATAAATGGTGCTGTTCAGTTTTTCAGCTTCTCTTGGGAATGGATTTAACCTTGAAGGTTTGTAGTCTGCCCATTCAGGATAGGATCTGTTTTCATATCGAATCTCAGCACGTAGTCTCCACAGTCAAGTGAAAACCTTGCTAAACTGAGAGGTAGCTTTTCTTTTCTTTTGTTTTCTTTTTTTTTTTTGGAGAGACAAGGTCTCACTATGTTGCCCAGGCTGTTCTCAAACTCCTGGGCTCAAGCAATTCTCCCACCTTGGCCTCCCAAGGTGCTGGGATTACAGGCGTGAGCCACCATGCCTGGCTGGAGGTAGGTTTGTTACAGGAATTTCTTCTGGCATTTGGGAAAACCAAAAAGGTCAGTGCATTTATTGAGTCTATTCAAGCCCTGGACAGCTTTTATAGATACTGCGCAGGTATAAAATATTAGTTGGTTATGATTAAAGAAATTCTGGAAACATGCACCCAGCGACATTTAGATATGCTAAGGAAATCAGTAAACTATTTTGTGGGATTTATTTTTATATTTTGGCAGAAACTGTAAATATAGTGATATTTCATGAATTAAGTTCATTTTGTAAGTCATGCCTAGGGCCTTTGGAGTGGTCGTTTTGAATGGTTTTGTTCTTATGGAAATGTGCAGAGTCAGGTAAGAGGTAGTGCCCAAGATACCACATTTCAGCTACCTTTGCTCAACTTCTGAATGCACAGACAGGCAGTTCTGCACCATCCAAAATACTAACAGAAAGAATTTCTAAAATCTATATATAATTGTCATACTCTAGGCTAGGCACGATGTCTCAGGCCTGTAATCCCAGCACTTTGCGAGGCCGAGTAGGCAGGATCATTTGAGCCCAGGAGTTCGAGACCAGCCTGGGCAACACAGCAAGACCTCATCTCTACAAAATAATCAAAAAAAGTAGCAGGGCATGGTGGTGCATGCCTGTGCACCTCCCAACTACTCAGGAGGCTGAGGAGAATCACCTGAACCCAGGAGGTTGAGGCTGCAGTGAGCTGGAGGCCCACCCCTGCACTCCAGCCTGGGTGACAGAGTGATACCCCAACTCCAAAAGAAAGGTCATACTCTAACTTAGGTTAAGTTTCAGCTGTATCCCTATAAAACTTTTACTGGAACTGTCAATACTAGGTAAAATAAAGCCATTTGTCTTTTCTTTCCCGTGCCCCATCAGAGGACTGTGCCACTGAATCTCAGGGCCACAGACCATTAGTTACAGGTGTGCACCACTGTGCCCTGCTACTTTTTTTGATTATTTTGTAGAGATGAAGTCTTGCTGTGTTGCGCAAGCTGGTCTCAAACTCTTGGGCTCAAATGATCCTGCCTACTCGGCCTTGCAAAGTGCTGGGACTACAGGCCTGAGCCATCGTGCCTGGCCTAGAGTATGACAATATGACAACTATACGTAGATTTTAGACATTCTATCTGTTAGTATTTTGGATGGTGCAGAACTGCCTGTCTGTGCATTCAGAAGTCGAGCAAGGGTAGCAAGGGAACCAGATATTAGGGATGAGCAAAGTAATAACTGAGAAACGGAGGGTTGGTTCAGGAAAAGTCTGGTTACTGGGGCAATATTTGATGACCCAAAATCTGAGGACAGCAAAATTGAATTTTAGGCCACCTTAATCCTTCTGTGCACAGTTTTGCATATTAGGTATGTGTCGGAGAACATCATTGAAACAAAGAATAGTGTATCCTTTCCTTACAGACGTCTCACAATTTATTTTCTAAATTCTGCCATATTCTCTCTCTTTTGCTTCCCTTTCAAGTTTTGTGGAAGAGCAGCTACCATTTAGAGGTGCATCTGGCAAATTAACTTATCCTGGACGATTAGCCAAGAAGTTAATTTGCTGAAAGTAAGGTATCCTGTAGGTAATTTTACTGAGCGTTGGAACCGAGATGAGTTCCTGGTCCACCTGCTTTACGTTTTTTCCAGGTTAAAACTGTTACGACCAAACGTCATGGCATAGAATTACATGGACCTGGTTGCTCATCCATCAGTGTTTTGGAAAGAGCCTGAGGGAAATCCGGACGCACCAAAACTCCCTCGGCTCACGTTCCAGGAGAAGCAGGGTGTTCTTGGTCCGGGCATCTGTCCCTATTCCCAGCCTCAGCTGTCCCAGCAGGAAGGCACCCCTCCCCCCACTCTGTAACTACAGTATGAAGGCCTGTGTTCTGTACTGGGCCAGCAGCATCAAACCAGTGACCCCACACTACCTTTCAGAAGTGCAGCCAAGAAAAACTATATCGGGGGAAAATTGCCTAAAGACGATGTAATACATCCTTCCTCTGAATGCGGCAAACCTATGCCAAGATTAAACCAGCTTGTCTGAAGCCATATATCTGGGTTGCATCATGTGTCCCCAGTAGGATCTCTTGTCTTCAATGTTGCTGGCCTATCTTGAAAGCATGATAAAGGAAAAAAAAAAGAACACCACGAAATGTGTTGCTGTGCTCACTTTAAGAATGCTGTTATGAGGTCCGGGCATTCAAATATTGATTGGTTCCCAGCTGCATGCCAGGGACTGTCATTAGTAGTAGGGAAACAACAGTGAACCAAACAGAGAAAGTCCTCACTCTCCTGGAGCTGACGTTGGAGTGGGGGAGGCAGGTGGTGCTGGTGAATAGGTGATCTGTGCCAGGGACAGGGGCAGGGGGACTAGAGCAGGGTTGGGGGAGGGGGTAGAAAGTGACAGGGTGTGGGGGAATTTAGAGTGAGTAGTCAAAGAAAGCAATAAGGCAAGATTCGGGCAGAGACTTGAATGAAACAAAGGAGAGAGCCACTAAGCTGTCTGAAGAAGAGCATCCCAGCCATAGGGAACAGCAGAGGTGGGGGCCCCCAACGGCCTCATCGCAGAACAGTGTGGAAGCCAGGATGACTGGGGTGGAGTGAGCAAGGGATGGTATTAGGAGCTAAGCCAGGAGAAGAACTCAGCAAGATCTTGTAAGGCCTTAAAGGCCACGATGTGGATTTGTGGGGAGCCACTGGAGGGTATTGAGCAGAGAAAGAGATACGACTAAACTTGTTTTAAAATAATTACCCAAGCCGGGCTCAGTGGCTCAGCCTGTAATCCCGCGCCTTTGGGAGGCTGAGGTGA